TTCAAATCCCAGCTCCTCCACAAGCAGTTTTTTTTTTCTTATTTTATGATAAATGCATAACCGATTTCGCTATAATTTGCAAAATCGTAAATAAAGTTAGACATTTAAATATTTAAATAATTTTTATTTAATATTTAAATAAAATTTTATTTATTATTTTCATTATTCATTATTCATGCTATTTATATTATTGGTATTTATTATTCGCATTGCTTATTATATAGATTTTTTTACATAATACGATTCCTCTAATTGTTTTGCATGTAAAAGTATTAAAGTAGAGATACTAAAAAATATCAATAGTTTATATAAGATATTCTTTCAATAAGAAATTATTTTTTACTTATAAGTTAAAATAATTAATTTTATTCTATATTATTCTATATGATTTTTTATTCATAAATATTTACCCAGCATCTCTGATCATAAATTAATTCGTGATTAATTATTCTCTTGATTTTTGCAGAAGCTGCTTGAGCTTCACGGGATTGCTTCGACACACAACGATGCGAATTTCATGGATTTTTTGGAGACTGAATTCCTGCAGGAGCAGGTGGACGCGATAAAAGAGATCGCCGATCATGTGACGAATCTGGAGAGAGTCGGAGAAGGTCTCGGTGTCTTTATCTATGACAAGGAGTTAAAAGATTAAAAAAAATAATGTCGCATCCAAGAAATTTGCCAAAATAATTAAATAAAATAAAGAACAAAATTGAATAAAATATAAAAACATTTAAGTATAGGGGATTTTAGATGAGCAAAATGTTAGCAGAATGTCGCCAGATTTGATCAGAAAATGTCAGCAGACTGACATCAACTGCGATTGCATTTTTCTTTCGTTCTGTTGACAGAATTGATCTATTCACATAATTAGACAACAAATTGACGACAGAAATATCAGAATTTGCTGATAGAATCTGATAGTATTAATAGATTGGCAGCAAAAATCGGATAGGATCTATGATATCACTGAATACTTGCAAAATTGCTGCTAGGTGTTCGTTATATATATGTGTATATATTTTTCGCATTTAAAATTTATCAAACACTATATAACTACATACACACACGTATATACTACATATATAAAATATACAGGGTGATCCATTTTAATCAATCCAATCATTTCTCGAAATTATTAATGATATGAAAAAATGTTTCAGATCAAAGTGGAATGGTTTCTAGAGGAATATATTTTGGTCACGTTTTTTTTCTAGATGGAAGCGCTAAAAAAATATAAAGGTTATTATCTTTTTTAGATGGTTCACTTTTTTAAATGCGAATTATATGATTTTTTTTATATAATATTATATAATTTCTCCAATTATTTTACATATAAAAGTATTAAGATGGAGATATAAAAAAACCAATGATTTATGAGATATTTACTATTGCATGATGTTAATATGTTCCAGAATAAAGTATGACATATTTTGTAAACTATTGGTTTTTTAAATACCTCTACTTTAATATATTTTTATATGCAGAATTAGAGGAATTATATAATGTAAAAATATTTATATTTTAATTTTATTTAAAAAGTGCAGATAATCTTCATATCTTCATATCTTTTTCCATCTAGAAAATAAAATGTGATTAAAATACGTCTTCTTTGAAAACTCCTTTTCTACTTTCATCTGAAATATTTTTTTGTATTATCAATACTTTGGAAGAAAATTCGAGAAAAGTCGTACATTATGCATGATATCTCGAAATGTTATTGATAAGAAAGAAGGCCCTTTTTCCATGGATCCTGCACCTAGTGACATGCTTCCCTTTTTATTATCCCGCAGCCATGCTCTTAATGACGCGTTCCTCCCTCCCTTAACCCTTCAAACCCCACCGAGCATGGAATACCCCCGAGTCTCCCTTCTGCCTCTTTACTCCTTCCCTTTAGAGCTTCCAGTTTAAAACTGTCCTTTTATATCTTATTCTTATAGGTGAGAAATCTTATAATGCTGCGCCTTTTATTTTATACGTTTTTTAACTACAAGAAATAGAATTTCGCGTTCATCTAGCGGCAGTAGCGATTTTAATGAAGAATTTAATTTAACGTATTATATCATAGTGACTTGCAAAAGACGTATCACATTTTCTGTTGTAAAATGTATAAATTGTTGATTTTCAAATTAAGAAAATTGTATTTGATTTTTGCCGTCAGTCTAGTATTCTAGTATTCAACAGATTCTATCAAATTTTTATAACAGCAATTTGTTAATCAGTTTTATTATAGATTTTATGTGAAATTTATTGCGTTTCTGGCACCAGAAATTTTTTTTTATAGCGGACTGCTCAAAATCTCTTCAGGTTTAACTATTGACGAGTAAATATCGCGAGAAACGTTGATTCGTATAATAAATTCGAATTATTGATATCAATAAAAATATTCGTATTGATAAAACTCCAGATCTGTATGATATGCTGATCTGTACGAATAGATAGGTGAAGAAGCAAATGTTTTAAGCGTATATCGTTGTTCGTATTTGCACTCCGATTGCAGAGGAAGACATATAATATATAGGGTGGATACTAAGGGGGCTTTCCAGCAAGAAATACAAGTGACATAAAGTGATACAGTGTTCAACATATAGCGCTATCCAATAATGATATGACACAAATGTATAGACAAAAAATTGAAATTGTACGAGTATATCAAATATACATGGCTACTATCTAGAAAAGATAAAAAATTTCAGTGTGTTGTAAAAATTTGGCAGCCTGTTTGAATTTGTTCAAATAACAAACAATTTTATACAGTTTAGTGTTTCTCTTTACGTTTCATTAAGAATTCTATGAAAAACTAAGAATTTCTAAACAAACAATAATCTCACTCTATGTCTCACTATAAATATCTAGGAAAAATTAAGAATTTTCAAGATCTTGTCTCAATCCATATAGTTTTTCTGTACTTTTCCGTAAAATTTTTTTTCCGTCAGGAGTGTCCCAAATGACAATTAATTTCAAAGATACAATTAAGTTTAAGTTGAAGGAAAATTTTCAATTTTTATCAAAAATTTTGGAAGCCGCTTGGATTATTTTGCTGAAGTTTTGTGTATTTTTTAAAGTTTTATCCAAATAACTCAGATATGGTTTTCAAAATTTATTTGAAAAAAATGAAAATTTTCCTTCAACTTTGACATCCTGTAACTTTAAAACTAAGCTGTTTCAGACATATAATGATCATATAAAGTCTTCGTCTTAAATTTATATGTGAGGAATCAAAATCTTATAGAATACTTAGTATTCACCCTGAATATAATTAACTAGTGTGATCTTATGCGGCCTCTCGTCGCAGAAATAATCAATTAACTTTATCGTGCAATTATCTAGCAGTTATAACTTTTTGAGATATATCATATTTCTAGACTCTACAAATTGTAATAGCACACGATATTGTACCGTTTTAAATCAAACATTAACAACAATAATAATAATCATTGAAGATCCTACTATAATAGTATGTTTTAATTAAATATTTCGTTTATATACCTAATCCCCGATAAAAAATATATATATATATAATAAAAAAAAAAATAAATAAAACGATTGTTATCTATATCGATCGTGTAGAATGTCTGAAATTTCATCAACCGCATTACATTTTTTACCGTTTTCTCCCATTACTTCCCTTAACTGATACTTCTCTGGTGAAAATAAAAATTGAAGTATAAGACGAATGTAAGGGAGAGTAACAGATATGTGTGTAAACGAAGCTTCTAGGAAGCGAAAATTGAGACAACGTAACATAAGAAACGTAAACTCCTCTTTTACATTTCGTTAATGTCTCAATTTCCTTCTAAAAGCTTCATTTAAGCTATTATCACTCTCACCTTAAGTCTCTCGACTTATACTCTGATTTTTATTTTCACTTGAGTTAAATCGAAAACTAATTGGAATTCTCATTAATAAAGAATAGGTATTATGATTGCTTAGAATGTTTAGATAATAATAATCGCTGCTAACAAATACACGTATATTTTTTTCGCTTTCCGATGAACCTTATCGATAATATATGACCATTACGAGTATCATACACATATAGATACAGTATCAGACTACCACGGCCATGGTTGTATATAACCTTCGCGCGGCGCGTATAGATATGTATATATGTAGCTCATCCACGCGTAACGTAATTGAACGTGATCGTCTCCTCCTGCCGTTACTGCTGATGAGTGTTTTCAGTTGGCAAGGTTTCACAATCTTCACAGATCTATGATTTAACATGGCCATAGTAGCACCTGTCACATCCCTGGAAATCAGCGTTACAGAAACGATACGTGGCCCTGCGTTGATGGTTTCGTAATTAACCTTGTTAGTGCGCCCGTCAGCGCCGAGTCGCGCAAAAATGCATTCATTGTATGTCATCGTCGGTGCGCTGCTTAGCGTATCTTCGCTCATCTGCGGGGTAAGCGAATCGTTAACTCTCCGGTAATCTCTCTCTTGAAAACGTTAATGGGTTTTTATGCGCGTACTCAACGCAAGGGAATCTTTCAGAGCGAGCTCGAGTACGATGGCTGGCTGCAGTTGAGGTTATGGCACGCGTTCAACGACGATCCGGTACCTGTGTTCACGGAACGAGGAAACGTCACTGTGTCCAGCGTGCGTAGCGGTGCGTCCGTCGTCGGGCAGAATGGTCTGCTGCCGGGGCAGATAAACGCTCTGAAAAATCTCGCCGAGCACGACGGCAAATATAGACTGAAGGCGCTAGCTCGCATCTCTTCCGGCAGTGAAATCGTGTTCCTCACCTCGGTGCCAGCGGTAAATGTAGAGGCTTTTTTTCCAAGACCCTAGGAGGATTACTCTCCTTCCTCTCGACTTAGATTTTTCGGATTTTTAAGGATTAAATCTATATACTTGATACTCGCCTGAAATAACTTATAGCGAATTTGATCACTTGCATTTTACTCTCTAGAAGTACATTAAAAGCTGAAAACCATGAAATTAAGTAAAGTTAAATGTATTTATGTACTAATACTAATCAAATGTATTTATACATTTATACCTAGTGCAGATTAGTGAGTTTAACTGAATTAGCTATAAAAGTAGTCCATGCGAGTATTAAGACATTTCATCATTAAAATATTCTAATGATAAATTCAGTCATTCACACTGTGAATAAAATTTAATACTAAATAGTATTAAAGCCTACTTGAATATAAAATCTATCTGAATAAATATTTTTAGCGATTGAATGTTCAATAATATGTTACTTAACAGAATGTTGTTATTTCATTTTCAAAGTTGATCATATTTTATCATTTTATTTATATAATGTGCCTTTAATGTGTATTAATTCAGTATAGTGCAAATGACGCAAATAATTGAATTTATCATTAAAATATTTTGATATTTTGAAATACCTCGACATTGGCATAGATAAATTTTATAACAGATTCAGTTGGACTCACTAATGTACACTAGATGATAATATTAGGTGTTGGAATTAATTCGTAGCGTTTTACAAGTGATGGGAAGTACTTTCATTAATGTATTTTTTAATGCTCATGTGAAATAAATAACATTCTTTCATTAAAAAACGCTACGAATTAATTCCAACACCTAATACAATTAACATAAAGATGTATGTTTAACTCTTCTGAAAATCTGTAACAAAAAGTTATTACTGAGTTTGTAAAACTCATTTAATATATATTAATTTAAAAACATTAATTAATTTCGGAAAATTAAAATGATATAACTCGTATAAAAAAAAGAATGAATACTAAATTTATTTTAATAAGAATAATCGTTTGCGGGATGTATCTTGAACGAAATTGTTTGATATTTTTTTGTGTAAAGTGCTACAGTTACTAGAATAATAGAATAAAAAATGAATAAATTAATAAAATACGTACAAGAAAACTAATAAATATAATAATATATCTTTTATCTTAACATTATTTCATCGATAAAACTGAATTATTATTTTTACTCAATGAAATCTTTATTATTCAAACAATTATTGCATAGGAGGTTCAATAAACCTATGTCAGCTCTAGTGTATGTGTTAATGTAGAATTTATAAAAATAGGATTGCAAAATTTTTCATTTCTTAAACTTTATTTTAGAATACGTATTAGGCATTTTATTATTTGAAATTTCATTTTTATTACTCAAATATACAGTATACAAATATAAAACAGGTTTAATATACGCTACTAGTACATTTAATCGAATTGCTATTAATTTATTTTATTTGACAATATATTGTATTTTATTACATTTGAGTGTACTG